GGAGGTGTGTTTGAAATGAGCCTAGATACCAGCCATGGCAATTTCACGCTCACTGAAGCTCTCAGGACTTTACCTAGTGATCCCGTGGAGAGGTGAGGGCTGATTCATCTGCTTCGAAGCTCAGTTGGCAGAGAAGAAATGGGGGCAGTAAGCTTCTGCTGGAGTCTGCTGCATAGTCAGAGAAGAGGTTGGCACAGTTCTCTCTGCAGCAGAGACAATAGAAAAGGATTCATGCCCAGAGGTGTTTAGGGAGCAGAATCAACAGGCCCCAAGAGAGAAGAAGGAATCAGAAGTGTTGGGGTGCATACAGTTGTTGAAACTAGACTCCTGGGGAAGGGAGACCATGTGTTTTGTAGATAAGAACAGGACTTTAAAGACAGGCAGATGGCTCATGCCCATAATCCCAGTACTTGGGAGGCAGAATTGTAGAAGGGTTCCCAACAGTTTGGGGCTAGCCTAGGTTACAGATTGAGACCCCCACTTCATACAACCAAAGTCAAAAACTATACAAGCAAAAAAAAAAAAAAAAGACAGCAAGTTGGCTCAGTGGGTAAAAGTGATTGCCGCCAGGCCTGAAGCCGAGTTTGATTCCCAGAGCTTGCGTGATGGCAGAGAGAACCAACTCCAGCAGCTGTTTGCTGGTTTCCACACTCGCTCACTGCTGAAGCACACGGGCACCTCCCCCTCCACATAGGTAAACAGCAGCAACAACAGATTTCAGCTTAGTGGTTAGAGAACCCGAGTTAAAACCCTCTTTCCAGGATAGAAGCGTGCTTGGCTCAGGGTTGTGTGGGGACCTGGGGGCTCATCTAGGTACCTTGAATAGGGGGGAAACACCCACAATTTCACTGTCCTGTTGACAATTGTCATTAACTTGGTTCTTTACTATGTCTACATGTAAAGTTGGCCTTCCCTTTTCCCATTGTTATTATGTAGTCACTGTCAATGCACAGTCATATTTTTTGAAACTGTTTAGACCAGGCTGATCACAGGCTTACGGAGATCTGCCTGCTTCTACTTCCAGAGCCCTGAAATTAAAGGTGCTGGTCACTACAGCTGGCGTCTCGTTGTAGTTTGGGTTATTCAGGAGCATCTTTTGTAAAATTCTTGCTATATTACCAAGTTGTTTCCTAAAAGGGTTGCTCTAGACTGCAATTTCAGTACCGATGGAGGAGAGAACTGATTTCATACTACTTTTGCTAGAACTGGGGATGAAGATTTTGAATATTTGATAAGGTGAAAACATTGTAAATATATTTTAATTTGCCTTTTCTTCTATTTATAGTGAAATTGTTTTTTTTCATTTCCTGCATCTACCTTTTGTTTTGTTTGTTCATTTTTCGAGACAGGGTTTCTCTATGTATCCCTGGCTGCCCTACTCACTCGGTAACCCAGGCTACTCAAAGATCTGCCTGCCTCTGGGTCTGGAGTGTTGGGGTTAAAGGTGTGTACTACCACTGTCTGGCCTACATCTACTTCTTAAATGTTTTTGATTACATTTATTGCGCGGTGTGTGTGTGTGTGTGTGTGTGTGTGTGTGCGCGCGCGCGCACATGCACACATGGAGGTCACAAAACAACTTGCTGATGATCCAAATCAGGTCATCAGGATTGGCAGCAAGTGCCTTTACCTGCTGGGACATCTCTTTGGCCCCTGCATCTATTTCTTTTGTTACTCCCTTTGATAGCTGATGACTTTCAATTTCTGCCTCCCGCTCCTGCCTCTGCCTCCCAAGCCTTTACATAGTGCTGGAGCTGGAACTCCAGGCTTTCTGTAAGCACTCTGCCACCTGTGCTACATTTCTTTTTCTTTTTTTTTTTTTTTTTTTTTTTTTTTTTGAGACAGGGTTTCTCTGTGGCTTTGGAGGCTGTCCTGGAACTCGCTTGGTAGTCCAGGCTGGTCTCGAACTCACAGGGATCCGCCTGCCTCTGCCTCCTGAGTACTGGGATTAAAGGCGTGTGCCACCAACTGCCGGCTCTGTGCTACATTTCTAGCTTTATCATCATTATACATTTTTTGTTTATTATTGTGCTTATGTGATCATAGGTGCACATTTGCTGCAGCAACTATGTGAGGTTTCAGACAAGTTTTTGGACTGGAGTTGCTCCCAGTTGCTTATCAGGTGAGCAGCTCACTGCTAAATTTCCTGTAACTCCAGCTCCAAGGTGCCCTCTTGTGGTCTCTGAGGGTATTTGAACACATGCGCTTATATGAACACACACACACACACATACACATATGCATGCACACATTTAAAATAAATTCTTAAAACTGTTTTACTACAACTGGGCAGTGGTGGCCCACGTCTTTAATCCTAGCACTTGGGAGGCAGAGGCAGGTGGATCTCTGTGAGTTCGAGGCCAGCCTGGTCTACAGAGTTAGTTCCAAGACAGCCAAGGCTCCACAGAGAAACCCTGTTGTGGAAAAAAAAAATTATTTTACGACAGATTGTTGTATTATAATTCAATATATTTTTCTTTAATTCTTTAACTATGACTTGGGGTTTTCGAGGTGGCTCAGCAGGTAAAGACACTGCCAAGTCTGATGACCTACATCAGATCCCTGGGACTCACACGGCATGAGGGGACTGACTCTCAAAGTTGTTCTTGGATTTCCACACATGCACCATTACAGGTTGGGCATGTCTTCTCCCCAGTAAACAAATTAACATACTTCAAACCATCCTTCTTGTTATTCTGTTTAGAATTGTCTTTGATATTCCTGCCCAACATTTGAATCATCTTGTCATGCTTCAGGGCAATTGTCATTTGAATTTTTACTTTAACGCCGCCCCCGCCCCGATGTATGTGGTGGTGCAAATCTTTAATCCCAGCACTTAGGAGGCAGAGGCAGGCGGATCTCTGAGTTCAAGACCAGCCGGGGCTACATAATGAGAACCTGTTTCAAAAAACAATATATAAATGAAGAAAACAAAAAGTGTTACCAGTTCAAGACCAACCGTACCTTTTGAATGGGATTGCATGAAAGATCCCTTGTGATTTCAACTTTTACCATCTAAAGGAGAGACTGACCATCTGCACCATTAAACTTTTGCCTAATCCTCTGCATTATAATACTGAAAAATAAAGGCCCAGTTATTGCTGGTCCAAGGTTAGGGAACGGAAGAGAAGCCACACAAGCTCCCTCTTGGTCCCTCAGGAGTGACCGCCCTGGATCCACGTTGCCGACGCGGTTGGCTCCGCGATGGAACTAGAGCGAGGGGTGAGGGGCCCAGTCCGGGATTCACGCCCTAGCCAGGCTCGGATTGATAACCAGGCTGGCCGAGGAGACCTTGCTCCTCGGCTTCCATACCCGTGTTCCCCAGGGCGCCAGAGCGGCCGGACCCGTCGGTGCTCGGAACCCAGGGCACCACAGTAAGTTCCGGGAGGACAGTTTAAAGCAAGGCACCAACCGGAAGTGCCTGTGTTGTGACGGAAGTGGGAGCTTTCTTGGAGCAGCTGGTGCCGAGGGAAGCGGGACCAGCAAAGATGATTCAGGCGATTCTGGTTTTCAACAACCATGGGAAGCCGCGGCTGGTCCGCTTCTACCAGCGTTTTGTGAGTGCGGCCCGGCCCGTCACGCACCCGCGTCCATTCCCCTCCCCTGGTCTCGAAGCAGCGCTCGCCCACCCCTCGGGCTCCGGCACCGTGCATGACCCACCACCCCTGATCGCCTCTACCCCCCCCCGGGGCCCGGCTTTTCTGTGCTTCCTGACACTTTCCCTTGGGTCTTAGGCCGGACGCGGTACACAGTGTGGCTCACTGAGATCTTGGGCGACAAAATCCACTGTCTTTGGGCCTTTTTTTTTTTTTCCTTTAAATCAATGAGCGTATTGTGTAATGGCCGGGGTCGTTGGGTTCTTCTAAGTTGTTTTCTCAAGGTGGGGAGAAGTTCTTTCCTGGAATTATTTGCTTCAGCTTTGGCTGTGACTTATTAGGGTTGGGTTACCCTTTACCCTGTAAGGTTACAGAAAGTCTTAAAAAATGAGGTATATTACAAGCTGTCAGACGTAGTGGTGCACACCTGTAAGCTCAGGAGTTACCTAAGATAGACAGCTTGAGCTACACCAGACCATGCCTCAAGAAACCAAATAACTAAAATGCTGTCATAGGATGTCTCAGCAATGCTTATTCTCTCTCTCTCTCTCTCTCTCTCTCTCTCTCTCTCTCTCTCTCTCTCTCTCTCTCTCTCTCTCTCTCTTCTTTCTCCCTTCCTTTCTTTGGGGGGGGCATTTTTGAGACAGGGTTTCTCTGTGTAGCTTTGTAGACCAGGCTGGTCCCGAACTCACAGAGATCCGCCTGCCTCTGCCTCCTGAGTGCTGGGATTAAAGGCGTGCGCCGCCGCCACGACCTCCGGGCTGCAGTGTTCATTTCTACAAACATTTCCTTTGTGAAAATGGAAACCTCGTTATTTTCTCATGTCCGCCATTTCATTCGTGGCTAGGTTTCAAAATACATAACTGAGAGACTGGTTAAACCCGAGGGGGTGGAGTCAAACCATTAAGGCTTCGGTTCCACCTTCCCACTTTCGTGGGGGTTGGCAAGCTGAGAAATGCCTCTCAGATCTTATTCCTTTTTTCATCATAAATGAAAAAAATAATTTGCTTTTTGAAATAGGATTTTCAAATTGCATTTTAAAAAAAGAACACTTAATATAAGTTCAACTTGGGTGTGCATTTGTTTCTTCTATTTTCTAAGTTACTAAGGTATAAATGACTATACAGTTACTTACCATATCACAATTTGAGAACCTTTTTATCTCTCCCTTAAAAAAAAAAAAAAAAACTCCTCCCTGCTAGCAGTCAACTCCCTAGCCCTAAGCAAGCCCTTACTTTCTCTTTTAAGTTTTTGGGTGTTTTTTTTTTTTCTAAACAGAATCATAATAATGTATGCTTTAAAAAATCTTTTACACATAAAAACTCCCTCAAGTTTGATCTGTATTGAAGCATGTGAATATATGTGTTCTTTACTTATTTTGAAGAAAGTTCTCATTATGTAGCTCACATTTGCCTGGAACTGGAGATCCCTCTGTTCAGCCTGTCCTGGTGGCACAGGTCTATAATCACAGCACTTAGGAAACTGAGGCAGGAGGATTGTGAGTTCAAGGCCAACCTTGGGTACATAGTGAAGACACTGTAAGCAACAAAAAATCCAAACAACCAGCCATGAAAAGAGAAGAAAAGATCCTTTATCACAACTTCTACATGCCAAAGGTATAGGCATGCCACTGTGCTGGTCATTCCATAGTTTTATTCCCATTATTTGCTGTATCTGGCTTTTATAAATAATGCTACTTGACCATTCGTGTGTTGAGTTTTAGTGTGGATATAGCTTTTCATTTCTTTTGACTTTAGTGGAAGAATCATTAAGTCACACGATAACTCAATGGTAGACATTTTTAAGTAGTTTATTTATTTTTATTTTATGTGCATTGGTGTTTTGCCTGCATGTACGCCTGTGAAGGTTTTGAGTCCCCTAGAACTGAATTTACAGACAGTTGTGTGCTGTCATGTGGTTGCTGGAAATTGAACCCAAGTCCTCTGGGTTCAATTAACCTTTCAGTTAATGGCTGAGCCATCTCTCTAGCTAGCCTCAATGGTAAATATTTTAAGAAATTGCAGAAGTGTTTTCCAAGTGGTTGTACCACCTCTATCAATGTATCAGTATTCCAGTTTCTTCTTATCTCCTCCAATGTCTGTCTTTTTTATTTGTTTTTGTTTTCTGAACGTGGGAGTGAATTCAGGGCCTCCCTCATTCTAGGCAATTTTCTATCACTGAGCTATATAGTCCTAGCCATGTTGTCTTTAATTAAAGGCATTTTAGTGGATGAAAATGAATCTCCTTTTAAAAGGTTTTGATGTCTGTTTCCATAGTGACTAAGGATGCTGAGCACCTATCTTTTCTTATGCTTATTGGCATGTGTATCTTTGAAGATCATAGAATTGTTTAAGAACCTCTTGAGTGAAAGTGCCTTGAGAGTTGTGGTGTGCTAAGATAGGGAGGGTTGTTAAAATACCTACACAAGCAGTCTGTAGTTTGCCTTGAGAGCTGTGGTGTGCTAAGATAGGAGGGTTGTTAAAGTACCCAGGGCACACAAGCAGTCTGTAGTTTGCCTTTTGGCTGAACTGGGAATTGGCTGGCCTCCTTGTTTCATGTCACCACCACGCCCCCATTTTCCCACTTGCACCTGTGGTTGGGTAGGGCTTCAGTGGAAACCATGTTTCTGTTATTTTAAAGCAGTGCTGATGCTTAGCGTACTTTGTGCTTTTGAGCACACAGTTAATCTTTGACAACATCCTAGCAAATGTGAGCTTGGTGTGTTCACATGGAAACCAGGAAGATAGTGATTGATTTGTTCCAGTTTGTGGACCAACGAATAGCAACTTTGTATCCGTGCATTGGGTAGGCGCTGAGAGCCCTTAGAGCCCACACTGAGCCAGCCGTTTCCTCAGAGATCAGTTCCCGGTTTTCGTGTTGTCCCCACCCCCATACTTAGTAGCTTTTAAATAATGGCCATCTCTCTCTTTTTTTTTTTTTTTTTTTTTTTTTTTGGTTTTTCGAGACAGGGTTTCTCTGTGGCTTTGGAGGCTGTCCTGGAACTCACTCTGTAGACCAGGCTGGTCTCGAACTCATAGAGATCCGCCTGCCTCTGCCTCCCGAGTGCTGGGATTAAAGGCGTGTGCCACCAGTGCCCACCAATAATGGCCATCTTAAAGCTAAGTGCAGTAATGTAGAAAGGGATTCGTTTTTTTAAAAAGTGCTTTCCTGACTTAAGGAAGATTCAAGTTGAACATCTATTCCTGCTGTGCCCTAGAGTGCGGTCCCCCAAGACTCAAAGCATTGGTGTCCTGTGGGAGCTTGTTAGAACTACAGTCTCAGGCCCTTAGCCCTGGTATATTAAAGTAAAACCCACATTTAAACTCCATCCCTGGTGTTGACTCAATCCATGTTATGATGTGAGAAAGTCTTCTTACATTGATAGCTTTTGTTTCTTTTTAAGATTGGTTTATTTTATGTGCATGAGTGTTTTGCCTGCAGATAAGTGTGTCCGCCACATGTGTATCTGGTGCCCTTGGAAGTCAGAAGAGGATATTGGATCCCTTGACTGGATTTACTGATGGTTGTCAGCCATCCTGTGGCCTGTGGCCTGTGGCTACAGGGAATTGAACCTGGGTCCTCTGTAAGAACAACAATTAATGACTGAACCAACTCTCCAGCTCCTGATCTAGAGTTGTTATGGGTTTTTGTTTATTTGGTTTTGGTTTTTAAAAACAGGGTTTCTCTGTAGCTTTGGAACCTGTTCTGGAACTCACTGTGTAGACCAGGCTGACCTTGAACTTTCAGAGATCTGCCAGCCTCTGCCTCCCAAATGCTGGGATTAAAGGCATTCGCCACCACTACTGGTCTTTCTTCTAGTTTTTAACTATCTAATTTTTGTCTGGTTTCTTCCTTATCCTTTTTGTTTGTTTTGAGACAGGGTCTCACTTCTTATCCCTGGATTACCTGGAACTCACTGTGTAGACCAGACCGGCCTTGAACTCACAGAGATCCACCTACCTCTTGCTAATACGAAAGTACTACCACTCCTACCCCACCCCCTTTAGACAGTCCTCGTGCCCCCTGCCTTCACCTACCTAATGCTGGGATTACAGACATGCTCTACCACGATGGCTTCCTTTCTCCTCTCTACCCCAACCCCCTCTTACCTCTCTTTTGTTTTGTTGAGAAGGGAGTCACAGTACAGTTCAGGCTGGCCTGGAATTCACCATATAAACCAGGGTGTTCTCCAATTCAGTGACAGTCCTGCCTTAGGCTCCAGCATGCTGGGCTTGCAGGAATGAGCCACCATGCAGGAGTTTTTAAAAAAGTTTACACCATACCTATTAAAAATTTTATACATATAAGTGGAAATCAAATGTGATTTATAAAGTTATTCATTCATATCACAGTTGAGGTTTCCCAAGATTACAAGTGACTTTTTTTTTTTTTTTTTTTGGTTTTTCGAGGCAGGGTTTCTCTGTGGCTTTGGAGGCTGTCCTGGAACTCACTTGGTAGTCCAGGCTGGTCTCGAACTCACAGAGATCCGCCTGCCTCTGCCTCCCGAGTGCTGGGATTAAAGGCGTGGGCCACCAACGCCCGGCTTACAAGTGACTCTTAATGAAAAAAGTTTATTTGTACTTTTGTTTAGTTGTTCAAGATTCAGATCTGTAAATACAGCATTTTCTGTTTTTTCCCAATTGTTGGTGAGCAAAACAACATCTTATATGTAGTACTGGTATTACAGTAAAAAAAAAAATCACCAATTTATTTTTAGACATGTACATGATTACATCTTGACCTTCACACAGTGCTGGAACTTTGAGATTTGTTAATTACCTCTTCATAGTTTTTTTTTTCAGGAAAAAAAAAGTTGGGCAGTGGTGGTGTACACCTTTAATCCCAGCACTCAGGAGGCAGAGACTGGTGGGTCTCTATGAGTTGCAGGACAGCCAAGGCTTCACAAAGAAACCCTGTTTCAAAAACCAAATCAAGCAAACAAAACAGAACCTGAGGGTCTTTGTAAATTTATGGATTCTGATTCCTTGCTTGAGTTGCAGCTTGTCTGTAAAATAGCGGTGTTTTTTAGCTGAGATACCTAGGTAAGTGCCTGTAACCCCGAGCCTTGTCTTCCCGCAGTCCTCTGCTCTCCATGTGCTTATGTGCGGTCTTTTCCAATTGTTGCAGGGGAGCCCTCCTTTACATAGCTGTGCTCATTGATGGACACACTTTTGCTCACTTGCCCCTGACCCGGCTTTCTGTTGTTCCGTAGCCAGAAGAAATTCAGCAGCAGATTGTTCGAGAAACTTTCCATCTGGTCCTCAAGCGAGATGACAACATCTGTAACTTCTTAGAAGGTGGAAGGTAAACCATCAGCTTCAGGTCGCCAACCCCCGAGTCCCCAGATCCATGTTGGGTGGTCTTTATTGCTTTTGTTTCTTCTGGTACACTCAGGGGTCAGTGGCTACCTGATACAGCATAACCTGCTCTTTTTTCTGGTGTGGGGAGGGGCTTGTTAAGACTGTGTTTCTTGCTGGGCGTTGGTGCACACGAGTTTAATTCCAGTACTCGGGAGCCAGAGGCAGGCTGATCTCTGTGAGTTCGAGACCAGCCTGGTGAGTGCCAGGATAGGCTCCAAAGCAGTACAGAGAAATCCTGTCTCTAAAAACCAAAAACCAAAACCAAACAAACAAACAAAAAAACAGCTGGGTTTCTCTTGTAGCTCAGACTGGCCCTCAACTCACAGGTCTGCCTTCTTCTGCCTCCCGAGTGCTGGGACTAAAGGTGTGCCCCACTACACCAGACCCGTATGCTGTTCTTAGCATGAGCGTTCAGGGAGATACCAGTTCTCTTTGGGAAACACTTGCATTACTGGGCTTCAGCCATCACTCTGAAATTCTTTTTTCTTTAATTTTTACTTTATGTACATCTGTGTGTGGTTGTCAGAACCTTTGGAACAGGAGTTATGTGAGCTGCCATGTGGGCGTTGGGGATTGGACCTGGGTCCTCTGGAAGAACAGTCTGTGCTCTTAACCCCTAAGGTGTCGTTCCAGCCCAAAGCCATCTCTCTGGTGTTTGGTCACTGGCAGGGTAGGCAAAGAGAAAGAGGAAGGGTAAAGTCGGGTGGCTTTAAGTCCCTCCTCCAAACTTAGCTGTCCTCACGTGGGAAGTGCCTGCTCTTCGAGCTCAGCCTTCCCCTTTGCTAGGCCCATTTCCATTATTCTTGGGTGCAGGGTTCTCTGATATGTTTACTGCAGAGTTGATTCTCAGCTGTTCCCTACTGTCTCCCACAGTCTCATTGGTGGCGCTGACTACAAACTCATTTACCGCCACTATGCCACCCTCTACTTTGTATTTTGTGTGGATTCCTCAGAGAGTGAACTTGGGATCTTGGACCTCATCCAGGTATGTGTAGTCATCAAAGAATGGAAGCAACTTTAGAGTTCACACGGGGGTTTTGAGTAACCAGTTTGGGTTGGATCCTTTTTTCAGTCTCCTCATTGACGTTGGTAAGGGATGCCAGATGTCCACCAGGTGGCGTTCTGTGAACGCGCCTGAGCAACCCTCCAGAACTCAGCTGTGGACAATGGTTTCTACCCAGCCCTTGCACTGCCCCTGCTTTTTATATAATCCAAGACCACTATGGTACCAGCCATAGTGAGTGAGCTGGGCTCTCCCATCAAGAAAATGCCCAATAGGCTTACCCATAGGCCAGTGTGGTGCCTAGCTTGTGTCAAGTTGACATAAAACTAGCCAGCACAAGGTTAAAACTATCTTGTGGGAGTCAGTTCTCTCCTCCTACTCTGTGATCCTGGAGAGTGACCTCAAGTTGTCAGGTTTGTCAGCCATCACTTTTACAGTGAGTCAGCCATCTTGCTAGCTAGCCCCATGCTTCTGTTCTTTGTATTACAGTATGTGAATTCTTCAGGGTTTATGACAAAGTCTGATATATAATAAGAAAAATCAGTTTCTGTCATCACCATTTGCTCAGAGAATTCTTTCATATTTTCCAGAAAATTTGATTTAGAATACACAAGTAAAGAACTTGCCAGTTTGGTGAAATTTTCCAGTATTTCTCTTTTCCCTTCAAGATAGGGTTTCTCTGTATAGTTCTTGCTGTCATAGAACTAGCTTTGTAGACCAGGCTAGCCTCAAACTCATAGATTGGCCTGCTTCTTCCTCCCAAGTGCTGGGATTAAAGGTGTACACCAGTACTGTTCCAGCTTTAACTGCTATTCTTTTTTTTCTTTAATTTTTTAGGTTTATTTATTTCATTTTTATGTGTATCAATGTTTCGCCTGCATGTATGTCTGTTCATGTCTCCTGAGGTCAGAAGAGGGCGTTAGATCCCTGGATTTGTAGTTATGGATAGTTGGGGGCCACCATGTGGGTGCTGGGAATTGAACCCAGGTCTTCTGAGAGAGCAACAAGTACCATGTCTGCAAAAACAACCACTGAGCCATCTCCCCAGCTCATAACTCCTGTTCTCAAACAAAATATTGTTAAGGTGAAAAGAGTTATAAACGGTGCCACTGTGAGGTATCTGTGTTTGGTTTTAGAATTACACATGCTTGCATTTCTGTAAGCTATATACCTGAGGAGTACAGTTGCTAGGTCCTAGAGTATTAATGCTTAATGGCCAGTTATTTTCCAGTGTTCTGTTTCTAATAGAAACCATGTACCAGTTATCAGTCCTAGGTCAGGATGTCAAACACTTCTGCCCATTGCATCTTAATATCAACATCATCAAGGAAAACAGAAGTTGATCTCTGGATGGAATAACACTTTGCTAACTAAGGCAGAAATTGGTACTGGTTGTGTGGTATTGCTGTAACAGACCTGACCATGAGTCTTCAGGAGGATTGTGTTGGCATTTGAACTTTGGACTAGAAAAGCCATCGAGTGCTCAGAGCTCAGTGGCTTGTTCTTTGGGAGCTTAGAAGATAAGAATGCTGAGAGAATTGCAAATGTTAGAGATCTGGCTTGTGAAGTTTCACAGAGAAGTAAAGACTATCAGGACCATTTATGTGATGTTTTGAATTAAGAATATGTGATTTGGGCTGGAGAGATGGCTCAGAGGTTAAGAGCACTGACTGCTCTTCCAGAGGTTCTGAGTTCAATTCCTGGCAACCACATGGTGGCTCACAACCATCTGTAATGAGATCTGGTGCCCTATTCTGGCCTGTGGACATACATGCAGACAGAATACTGTATACATAATAAATAAATACATCTTTAAAAAAAAAGAAATGTGCAAAAACTTAAAAAAAAAGAATATGTGATTCTGGCCAGCTGGGCATGAAGAATCACCATGATTAACAAGAGACCAGCGCCACTAAAGTGGAGCCTTTGCTTTACTAGGACAATTGTTGGTGCTCATCTGGAGCTGGGAAATTAGTGATAGTGAAGAAGAGACCAGCATCGTTGAGGCGGAATCTTTTGAGAAGTGCTTCCTTGGGGTCTACATGCAGAAGTGATCCAGAGGGGGCTGTGGCTGCATCTCATGCTAGGAGCCTTAAGAGTCATCTAGATGGTCCTGGTTTTGAAGGCGTGAAGGGGTTATGGAGAGAAGTTGAGACTTGGCACCTTGTGGCAGGGTCACAGTCCCTGAAGAGAGCCCAAGAGAGGTTATTGGTGAAGGTACAGCCAGTGGGAAAGACTCCAGCATTTTGGAGATGTCAGCCCCAGGGAATGGCCACCAAAGAACACCGTAGCAACAGCTTGAGCCTAGGAGACAAGATGTGTATGCTGTAGAGGGCAGAGCTGGAGAAGTGGCCCAGGCCCTTTGGAGCCCAGAGGGTCATGGGTGAGAGACTGGAATTTCAGAGAGGCTTTGGATGTTTTAGAAGACTGAATGCTTTGGACTTTGAAGAAGACTGATTTTTTTTTTTTTGTTTTTTGTTTGTTTGTTTTGTTTTTGAAACAGGGTTTTATAGCTTTAGAGCCTGTCCTGGCACTCGCTCTGTACACCAGACCAGCCTCAAACTCACAGAGATCCGCCTGCCTCTGCCTCCCCAGTGCAAGACTGAATGTTTTAAAGAGACTGAACTTTTAAAGTGTTTTAATTTTAGAGACTGGACTTTTGGAGACCGGAGCGTTGGCTGCATGGTTAAGAATGCATATGGTTTTTACAGAGGACCCAAGTACCCACATCAGGAAGCTCACAACTGCATGGTCTCTAGCTTCAGGGCACTGCTACTTTTCTGGTCTCCTGAGCAGACACACACATACACATAAACAAGTTTTTTTAAGTTTGAAATTTTTATATTGTGTTATTAACAATATGAGATCTTAGGAACAGACAGATAAGAAAGGAACAATTTGCTGGGCAGTGGTGCACGCCTTTAATCTCAGCATTTAGGGGACAGAGGCAGGTGGATTTCTGAGCTCTAGGTCAGTCTGTACAGAGGGAGTTCTAGGACAGCTAAGACTGTTACACAGAGAAAGCCTGTCTCGAAAAACCAGAGTGAATGAATGAATGGAACAGTTATGACTTTTTTTGTAACTTTGAGCCTTTTCTGGAACTCACTCTGAAGACCAGGCTGGCCTCTGCTTGCCTTTGCCTCCCAAGTGCTGGGATTAAAGCCTTGTACCACCACCACCCAGCTGAACAGGTATGGCTTAACAGTAGTGTGTTTGTGTGTCAGGTTGACAAGGGGTCAACTGGCTAATTTTATGTCAGTTTGGCACAAGGTAGCATCATCTGGAAAAATGGAGCCTCAATTGAGAAGATGCCCCTACTAGACTGACCTTTGGGCAAGGCTGTTGGGCACCTTCTTGATTGATGATAGCTGGGAGGCCCAGCTCACTGTGGCCAGTACAGCCCTGGGCTAATGGTCCTGGGTGGTCTATGAAAGCAGGCGAAGCAAGCCACGGAGAGCAAGCAAATAAGCAGCTCTCCTAGATGGCCTCTGCGTCAGCTCCTGCCTCCAGGTTCCCGTACGGTCCTCCTGACTCTTTAGTGATGGACTGTGATGTGGAACTGTAAGCTGATACACACCCTTTCCTTCCGAAGTTTGCTTTTGTTCATGGTGTTTTATTACAGCCATAGAAACCCTAGCTAAGACCAAACCTAAGAAAAGAGACAGAGGAATGAGTTCATTGTGAGTCTCCCCCAGCCTCCACAGTTCTCTTGCACTCATCTTGTGCACAGTGCAAGGGTGTTCCTGATGTGCTGGTTCTGACTGAGACCCATCTTCATGCAGCATTGAACATCCATGCCATTGCTGACTATGAATCTGTTAAAATGAGGTCCTTCTCTGAGGGAGAAAACAAAAACTTATGAACAGGGCTATCAAGAAGGCTCAGCAGTTAAAGGTACTTGCTGCCAAAGCAAAGTAACCTGGGTTTGATGCCTTGTCTTCGTGTTAGAAGGAGAGAGCCAACTCCCACAAGTTGTGCTTTGACATACACACACACACACACACACACACACACACACACACACACACACACACACACTACATACATGTAATGAAAAACAAAATGGGTTGGAGAGATGGCTCAGTGGTTAAGAGCACTGACTTCTCTTCCAGGGGACCCGGGTTTAATTCTCAGCATGGTGCCTCACACCTGTCTGTAATTCCAGTACCAGGGGTTCTGATCCCTTCACACACCAGATGCAGGCAAAACACCAGTGCACACAAAATACAGATAAATCATTCAAAAACAAAAGCTATAGCAACAAGACCCAGAAACCTGTTAACAGATTTAACATCACAGGCCTTTAATCCCAGCACTCAGGCAGCAGAGGTAAGTGGATCTCTGAATTCAAGGCCATCCTGGTCTACAGAGGGAGTTCCCGGACAGCCAGGGCTGCACAGGGAAATCCTGTCTTGGAAAACCATAAATAAATAAATAAATAAATAAATAAATAAATAAATAAATAAGAATATTGTATTGTTAATACTGTAAGGAGCTTTAAAAATGTGTGTGTGTGTGTGTGTGTATGTGTGTGTGTGTGTGTGTGTGTGTGTGTGTGTGTACTTCCAAGTTTGGGGAAAGGATATAGTAGTCTGTCTTCCAAATGCTGAGATGAAAGGCCTGTGCCACCACCACCCAGCAACTGTCTGTCCAAAGTAGTTGTAACAGCCCTGGCTGGGCTGGAACTCACTTTGTAGACCAGGCTGCTCTTGAACTCACAGAGATCTGCCTGCCTCTGCCTTTCTTGTGCTGGGATTACAGGTGTGAGCCACCACTGCTCGATGGTGGTATTTTATTCTCCTATGTAAATTGTCATCTTATAAAGGAGAAGAGGAAGCCTCAGTGTGTTTGCTGGTTGAATTACTAATCTGAAAACAAGGCTTTCTTGTCCAGTTGATTAGCCTCCTGGAGTTGTTAAGAAGTAGGTGTCAGTTAATGTTGGAGACAGGGCTTGCCCATTTGTTTTTGATATCTGTTGTGAGGTAAAAAGAGTGTCATGGCTGCCACTTTTACTTTATTTATTTATTTTTTGCTTTTTATAAAATTTTAAGATAGCATTGCCCCAAGTGGCCCAAGAAGTCCTTGAATTTCAGTCCTCCTGTCTGAATACGTGGGGTTATATTCCTGCATCTCTAGTTTCAGTCTTTTTTGATGACCTTGAGGTCTACCGTGTAGCCTAGGCTGTTCTCAAATTCTGGTCTCAAGCGATCTTCCTGCCTAAGCTTCTCATCGGGGGCTAAGGGGCATTCCAGGCTTGCCCCTTTTACTTTCACGTGTGACATCTGCGTGACAGCGAGTAATGGTTTTCTCTTTTCCATCTGTTTCTTCTTATCTCTTAGGTGTTTGTGGAGACTCTGGATAAGTGTTTTGAAAATGTATGTGAATTGGATTTGATCTTCCATATGGATAAGGTATGTACTCTTCCAGAATGGGGCTCCTGCAGAACTATGAGTTTAGGACATCTAGCCTTCCTGTTCTCTCTCTCTTGTCCTTTTGCTCTGACCTAGTTCTAGAGTGTCTTAATTAATTCATCAATTAATTTTGCAGTACTGGAGGTTGAATCTGGGGCTTCCCACATGCTAACCAGGTAGTCTACCATCAAGCCATACATCCAGCCTGAACCTCTTATTATTTATTTAGTAAGTTTTATAGTTCTGAGGGGTCATTGAGATGGCTCAGTGGGAGAAGGTACATGCTTGCCAAGCTTTGAGGACCTAAGTTAGATCCTCAGAATCCACATGGTAAAAGGAGAAAACTGACTACTGCAAATTGTACTCCACCCCTCACACGTGCTCCATGGCATGTGTGTCCCTACCCCAAAATAGATAAACAGACATGTTTTTATCCATCTGCCTCTTTGTTTGTTTGTTTGTTTTGTTTTGAGACAAGGTTTCTCTGTGTAGCCTTGGCTGTCTGGAACTTAATCTGTAGACCTGGCTGGTCTTGAACTCAGATCCACCTGTCTCTGCTTGAATTGAAGGCATGTATCACCATAACTGGCTTCTAACAAGCATGATTTTTGTCAGGTGGTAGTAGCACAAGCCTTTAATCCCAGCACTTGTGAGACAGAGGCAGGCAGATTTCTATGAGTTCCAGGCCTGCCTGGTCTACACAGAAACCCTGTCTTGGAAAAACAAACAAAGAAAAGCAAAACAACAACAAAAAAGATGTTAAATGGTTTTGAGAGTTGTTTGTTTTTATGTATATGGTATTTGTCTTATGTATGTTTGTGCAATAAGTGTATACCTGGTACCTTCAGAGATAAGAATATGACTTTGAATCTTATGAGATTGGAGTTATAGAAGGTTGTAAGCTGCCGTGTGGGTGCTGGGAATTGAACCCAGATCTTTGAAGAGCAGCCAGTACTCTTAACTACTGAGCTGTTTCTCCAGGCCCAGTGTATTTGGGTTTGTTGTTGTTGTTTTCTAAGATCTATTAGTAGTTTTAGCACACAGAGATTGCCACCGGGCCTGTTTCCTGGTTCTTTTGTTCATGGGTGACTTCTTAGTTTATATTAGTTATGATACCAGAATAAGTGGCTGAACCTACATAACTGAAAATTTATGTTGGTTATGAAATGAGTTTCCTAGACATAGGCTAGTAACAATGAAGTTTTGGAATGGTGAAAGCTCAGAAACTCTGATGTAAGCTGAGCGGTAGTGGCGCACGCCTTTAATCCCAGCATTGGGGAGGCAGAGGTAGGCGGATCTCTGTTGAGTTTGAGACCAGCCTGGTCTGCAAGAGCTAGTTCCAGGACAGCCTCCAAAGCCACAGAGAAACCCTTTCGGGGGGAAGAAAACAAAACAAAACAAAAATTATAATAATAATAAAATAAAAACTCTGATATAGTAAAATTTATATCTTGGGGAGCTATAGGGCTTGGAGGTTGGGAGTACATACTGCTCTTGCAGAAGATTCACGCTTGGTTCCCAGTACCCACATGGTAGCTCATAATTAGTTGTCTGTGACTCTAGTCAGGAGATCTTATGCCTCTTCTGGCTTCTGCAGGTACTAGGCATGCATGTGGTACATACATGTACATACAGCCCAAGCACTCATGCACATAAAACAAAATCTTTAAAAATCAGAACCAGGGTGCTGGAGAGATAGCTCAGCAGTTAAGAGCACTGACTGTTCTTCCAGAGGTCCTGAGTTCAATTCCCGGCAACCACATGGTGGCTCACAACCACTGTGAATGAGATCTCGTGCCCTCTGCTGGCCTGCAGGCAAAAGGCTGTATACACAATAAATAAATCAAATATTAAAAAAAAAATCAGAACCAAAACTTTGCTGAGGAATTGTGTAGTACCTAAAGCATGTGTAGCATCATTTGAGACCAGATGTAAGATGCTCTTAGGAAAGCACACTGGGACGGAATTGAAACGGCCCAAGCATTGTTCTCAGATTTGTTTTGTTAGCATAGCTATGATGAGGCCTGTGTCCTCCCTCATGTGCCAAGTTAAACAGGAGATACATGCTGTCCTCAGTGATGTTCACTGGCCAATCAGCCAGCGACCTTCCAGCGATCCATGGCTTTGGGAAGGAGTTGTGATCTAAAAAAATACTCGTTGATTTGTTATTTACTAATTTTGTGTGTGTGGGTATTTTACCTGCATGTTTGTTTGTATGCCACGTGTACAGATGTACAGTGCCCGTAAAGATCAGAAAAGGGTTTTGGATTCTTGGAACTGTAATTACAAGAAGCTTATGACCCATCATTAGGGTGTTGGGAATCCAACCTGGATCCTCTACTGAGCCATCTCTCCAGCCTCCCTCATTTTGATAAAACTGCACATTGTTATAGCATAATTTTTATTAGTTTATTATCATGACAACAAGAGTTTTTAGACTCACTGCTAGCATTACCATGCAGAGCACTTCCTGGCCATTTCCCAGTGGCTTCTCTCCTATTTCTTGTCTGTTGACTGTCCAGGTTTTAAATAGGAGAGAGAATGCCCGAGGGGCAAGAGGTAGACATAATTAAGCAATCCTGGCCAAGGTCTGGTTCCAGTTAGGGTTCAGTGGGGTCCAAAGAAGTCCTAACTGCTTTCGGGGGGCAATCTGGTTCTCAGTCAGTTCTCCCTTCTTTGTATGTTAGTCAGGAGTGTCATTTTCCTTGGCCTGTCTCTGACTCTATCATAGCCTGGTACAGGAGTATCATGGAACCTGTTCCTTCCTTAGAGACAACTTGAGACCTTGACAGCTTCACTAGACATCCAGGGCTCAATGATGCTTTTGTGGTGGGGTGGTTAACCTCCCTTGTCAATAGAAAGATCTTTGAAATGTCAGATGTCCCCTGGCCCTTGTCTTTGTAAGCACTCGGTGTTTGTTGTTTACCAGTTGTTAACAATGTTGCTGTCTTGTGATTTACATCCCTGTGGACACTAGGGAGTTACCCTAGCACCAGGTTTCTCCCTAACCCGGTAGTTGCTCTCTCTGTTAACGTCTTCTTACTGCTCTTCCACTGGATCCCCCTCAACCATCCATTCCCTCATGTTCTCATCCCCCCTCCTTGCCATCCCCCCCACTCCCAGTTTGCCCAGTAGATCTCATCTAATTCCCTTCCCAGGGTGATCCATGAGGCACAGATGTCTTAGGCTCTGCTGTCTCATGGACAGGTGTATAAGGCAGTCTCTGCTGAAGTGGTCATCTCCCTCCCACAGCAAGCTCTCTTTATAAGGCAGCTATGAGGGGACGAGCAACAGAGCGGGCACTGGGCAGTCTGTGTCTGAGTGCAGATGTTTGGGAAGGCTGCCTGCCTCCTACCCGAACCCTTGGGAACCTGGAAGAGCCAGTGGTCTAGTGGGAGAAGGCGGACCCCCCCCCGTACAAGCTGCTTCATCTAATTAATTTTTGTTTGTTTGTTTTTTTTCGAGACAGGGTTTCTCTGTGGCTTTGGAGGCTGTCCTGGAATTCGCTCTGTAGACCAGGCTGGCCTCAAACTCACAGAGATCCACCTGCGTCTGCCTCCCGAGTGCTGGGATTAAAGGCGTGCGCCACCACTGCCTGCTAATTAAATTTTTTAAAAAAGAAGTTTTCTCTGTCCCTGCTGTGCTCTAGTGCTGTGTTAACTAGAAATGGGACAATGGCATCAGGGTTGTTGCTGGTCTCAGAAGCACCTTCCCTCCTGCTGCTGTGAAGTGCAGCATTTCCTGGGTCCTTTGTGAACATTCTTCATCAGGTTAAGGAGGTTTCTTCCCTGGGAAAGGATGTCAAGATTCATCAGAAGCCATTTTCCCTATCTCCTGGGTGACCTTTGGCCTCATCTAATACTGTTGTAATCATATGAGGTTGTCTGTTCAGTCAGTAAAGTGATCCCAGCTCTGTTTTATTGGGTATGGCTTTTAGAAGGAAGTAAGTGACCATAAATATACTGTCCTTTCTCGTATGTCTTATCTTCATATAAGTTTCATAAAGCATCTTGCTGTTGCAGCAGATTTCTTTTACTGTTTATACAACTGTTTATTTTTAGCTGTTGGTTGGCACTGGAAAATGACCACTGTTATCTTTTGGAGTTATTGAAATCAATGATGTCTGAAGGTGTTTTCCCAGTAAGTGACTTCCCATTGGTTACATTTCTGACTTATTATATTCACTCTCACAAAACAGTTGCCATCTCAGGTATATCTTTATAGTCGGCTGTTTTGTTTAATTTATGATGGCAAAATACCTCCTACACAATGGCAAGAGTAGCACTGAATTCCATCCTCAACTGAAGAATCTTCCCTTCTGAGGCCAGAGCTCCTGGTGGTAGATTTTGCATGTCTGCATCAGCTGGTCCTGTTAGCTTCCCTGTCACATTACAGTCATGGGCTTAGAGCAGAAGGCCTGTGTAGACTACATATGACTGAATTCTAGTACTTTGAGAAATTTTCCAATTACGGTGTTTCTTTTGCTTGCTTTGAGAAAGGGTCTCATGTAGCCTATGCTGGCCTTGGCTTATTAGCTGAGGCTGAACTGAAAGGTCCTATCTTACATTATACCCATATTTAATTTTGTTTGTTTGTTTTATGTTTTTCGAGACAGGGTTTCTCTGTGTAACAGTCCTGGCTGTCCTGGAACTTATTTTGTAGGCCAAGCTGGCCTCGAACTCACAGAGATCCACCTGCTGCTGCCTCCCAAGTGCTGATATTAAAGGGGTGTGCCACCATCGCCTGGCCTAAATAGTTTATTTAACTTTATTTTATGTGCATTGGTATAAAGATGTCAGATCCCCTGAAACTGGAGTTGCAGACAGGTATGAGCTGCCATGTGGGTGCCGGGAATTGAACCCAGGTCCTCTGGAACAGCAACCAGTGCTTCTAAACACCGAGCCATGTCTCCAATTCCCCGCACCCGCCTCTTTCATTTTTATTTCATATATTCCCCTTCTAGAGCCCCATAACCTCATTTTCACACATACCCGCCTCCT